CATCCCATTAGTTCAAGCTTGGCCATGAATAGCGTAACTAAACAAGGCCGCGAAATCTGTCTACGACTATATTTTGCGATGTTGGTTCTCACAAGTACTTCTTCAAGTTGTTGATGTACGATCATTGTAGCTAGTACTAGTGACTATACCAAGAGAAACTACTACTACTAGTATTACTTAGTTGGTACAGACATGGAAAAATGAATGACCAGGCAAGCAAGACGCGACTCGGATTATATTTATTAGATAGATGGATGGGTCGATTGAGCATTCACAATTACTAGTGGTACTCCTGGTTCGCATGACCTAGTAAGAGCAAACAGAAAGTCAACAAGGGAATTGAGCGTAGCCAACACGCATACTTGAAGATGTTGAATATATTATCGCTTTTACTTTATACTATCCAGACACAGGCGAATGTCTCAAGATATCTACGTAATAAGGGCAAGGCAGTAAGGCATGAATGTGCATCAATTATGCCTGAGGCATCAGTTTCTCAACTAGTCACTGTGGCGAATTTAATGACATGGTCTGTAACCCCCCTGAGAATGATTGACCTGGGCTCCAAGACAATCGAATATTCATGGTATCTGGTCCAAATTTATCTCTTTTCACATAATGAACTGCTAGTGGTTACTAGTTGGACTTATCCGAGCGATGCTCTCTTCTCTTCTAAATTGGACAGTTCCCGAGGTCTCCAATACGATTTACAGTATTACCACGAATATACGGAGTACTGGTGGAGAGTATAAAGACCGCCACTGGATCGGGAAAATAAAATTTGAACTCCAACCTATGAGACTAACTTAGATCACGCAAGCATCTTCAGTGCGAATGGTGGTGGTCTGAAAAGACACCCTGCTCCGCACACGCCTTGCGACACTCCTCCAAGATCCTTGCCTGTTTGGCGACATGCCCGAGTCGACCGATAACTTCCTTGTTGCCATCAAAGAAAGTAAAGACGGCATAAGGGATGTTCACATCCTCGCAAAACTCCTTGACAAATTGTTGCGTCTTGCGCAAATTGTGGCGAGGGATGCGGGGGTATAGATGGTGGATGGCCTGGAATTGGAGACCGCCATGGAAGAAGTCCAGCCAAGGTGGGCAGTCCACATCCATGGTGGTGCGAAGCATCTTCTGAGGGAATGACTCGCGAGGACCGAGATCGGCAGTTGACATTGCGTAGTGGGAGAGAGTAATCTGCACATGCAGCGGTGCGGTAACCATGTGTGAAATCAAAACGAAGGCAATTCGACTCCACCAGGAAGGAATGCTGAGATAGACAACTCCATAACCGAACCATGTCCAGAAAAATACTTGTCCGGATAGCTCGAACCAACGGTGCCACCAGCCTGCACCGTGTCGAGGGCCGCGGCCGACAATGATATGTTCCCAGCTCAAGAAATAAAGATTGAAACGGCCGAAGAGAAGAATCGGGTAATAAAGGTAGTGTTGATATTTGACAACCGTCCGGGATACCGCATCATATTCCATGATTCGATCGTAGTATGTGCTGCGCAGATTACCGAAGAATCGATGTGATAGAGCGAAAAATGGCATGAGTTCAATGTCGGGATCGTGTTCTGGAGCATTGGTCATAATGTGGTGGACATTATGACTTCGCTTCCACCAGCCGAGACTAAGTCCACCCAGGTGGTTCGCAATAATCATTCCGATGGTAGTATCGACTTGAAAGTTGTGAGTGATACCCATATGGCCAGCATCGTGGGCGGAGAAGACTAGTTGATGCCAAAAGCATCCCAAGAACAAACCAGACAGGCAAAACCAAGAACGGTTTAAAAAGAAAAGGAAGAGGCCAAAAAGAAGACTGTATCGGGATATCTCGACGGCGTAGGCAAAATAATTGCAGTTGTACAGTCCAGCTGCACGAATGCGCTCGTTGAGCTCGCGGTATTTTTGGGTGATGTTTTCTTGGTGCTCGGCGGTGATAGGAGGATATTTGGATGTATCTAGCAGAATCTCTTCTTGTGTTCGGGCGTCCATCGTATAACCTCCTTTCGTTTCTTGTGTCGGGGGAGCGATGCTTGCTATTGATGAGATAGTAGATGCCGAGCGCCTGCGTCTTAAACCGGCGTCCGCTGCTTCAAAAAGTGGCGATGGCGGTGCCGAAGACTCTTCACTCGAGAGCTCAGAGACTGAACTCGAAGATGACACTTCTTCCTCATATCCACTATATAGACGGAAAGTGCCGCCTTGAATGGGAGGAAGGAAGTTAGTCCACCTTCCCTCGATGATACCAATTTGGAATTTGCTCATCCGCGCAAGTGCTTCCTGTGAATGTAGCCTTTAAGACTTTTTGTTAGTCGGTGGTTGGCAACTGATAAGGCAGATCAGATACTTACGCATTCACTTCATCTGTCGCATCTCTGCCTATCATGTGCTTGATGGCTAATGGGCCACCAGGGTGAAATTTCATCCAACAATCCAATTGCAGGACTTTACCATCGAGGATGATGATATGCTTGTTTTCGGCAATCATGCCTTCAATCTGTCGTCTCGAAAGGACATTTTCCCTGGCTTTCGCCCGGGTAGTCGTGTTGCTCATCTCTGATGATTGCAAAAGTGTGTTAAGTACCAAGACCGATAATGTCGAAGAGGATTGCAGGTCAAAATATTGGGGGCAAATGCTTTGAGAACTTGAAGTACTAATAGATGATAAGGAGAAGATTAAAAACTTTGAAAGCCAACTGAGGAGTAATGGCCACTTTTACTCTGCTACCTAAAATATACTAGTCCCACAGACAAAGACGACTTCGTATTTCTCACAACCTAATAGAAACGTAAGGGGGGGCGGTGCAGTGGATCGTTGCGACAGAAACTGTGGACATGGAGAGCCCCGTGGAGGGAGTAGTATGGTACAGAAGGAATGGTGGAAACGCGTGTGCAACGTGCCACCAGCCCTGGAGTGGCGCCTCTTGGCCATGGACCTTCAGGGCTCGGGAGGTCCCAGCGTGGGGAGGCCATACGTCCGTAGCGGGTTGACAAGATAAATATGGCACGCGAAGTGGGCCTACCCTATACGCGTCTACTATTCCGTGAATCCTCATTTGCTGAGGTAGATCAAGCTTAAACTCTGAGACTTTGCCCCTTTTTAAAATTAAAAGTACCCGATCGCCAAAACTAGCCCCGGTTTTGCCATGTGGCCCAGGTGTCCAGGTGGCTCCTAATGGCAGGTGTCATGAGAGTTCCAGCAGAATGAAATTACTTGCGAAGACCACCATGAGGGTACCTCGTATTGATAGTTATTGGACATTGACCGCAGGCATAAAACAAGTGGAACTCCCCCTGGCAAATTCACGGGACTCGCCTTTAATATCTTTGGTACAAAGAGTGAAGGGTCCACTTTAAACTAACTCGTACTCGCTGAACCGTCGGAGAGACCCTAAGAGGCAAATAGATGCGCGATCCTGCGTCTCTATCTAGGTTGTTGCCACCACTGCCCCACATTTAGGCGGCGGAGTTCTCCTATGTACGTTCAACTCCAGTAATACCCCAACCGAGGATTGAAACTCCCACACTGGTGATTTTCTGGGGCTAGGTTTTGGGTGCGTCCCTGGTCAACCACACAATGACCTCCTCCCTGATGCCTTGTTTGGCAGACCGCGACGCAGATATAGAGGGTTCCATGGGCTTTGTCCAAGTAAAGAAAAAAACTTATTCCGTAGCGCAGCCCACTGAATTGCGCCGCTACTAGTAGCGAGGATAGGATCGAGAGGCGCTAGTTCCAGTAGTCGTATTCGTATTACTTGGCGAGTGGATGGAAAGAAGAGACAGTCTCATTCCCATCGCATGCCAGTGCGCGTGAATGAGATAGAATGCGTTCCATTTTTAGGGGTCGCTAAATGTATGGCTCAGCTTGTATCCATTTTGTAATATTGCCATCGGTTCGTACGTATTTAGGCAGAGTAGTTACAAAGGCCACCTGGGCAATTTTCACTATACCCTACTCTGTACTCCGTAATTGCTATCTCAATCCATGGATGCGAATTTATAGCATGTTTAATTTTGGTGACCATTTCCCAAGTGTTGCTGGAACTTGGAATGAATCGCTCAACAATTGCGTGGTAAGAAAACTGGAGAACAGAAGGAAGCAAAAATGAGGTTGTCGACGGTGGCTGTCCGTAACCAAAGGCAATTAGTGGGGGTAAGCTCCCCTGAGAACCCCCGGAGAAAGATTATTCCCTCGTTTATGTGGTAATTGCCCATAAAATTGAGGTAAAGCTACAGCCACCGCATTCTTCTGCCAATGCCACCGAATTTCTATGGTATCACCTCATGTACTTGTCTGGTGCAATTTGGAACATCGGCCCCGTGGCCACAACAACTTGTTTGCCCGATTCAATAGCAGAAAAATCAGAAGACCCAAAAAATATAACGATAGAAGCAATTATTGCTTAGATTTCTGTGTGGGTTTCAGAAGGCACCAGTTGGCTTTTTACGGAGTATTCAAGCACATATCATCGGCCCGTTTTGCACTAAGCGAGCATTTGACGAACGGTGATCAAAAGACCCTCCCGACTCGGAGATCCACGACAAAATACAATGATCAGCATACCTAGCACACCTCAGCACATTCCATGACCATCCTTATCTAAAAGCGGCACATAGGCCCCCTGAAACCCATGCACTGGGCCACGTGCATGAGACTCAGCAGGAGAAACATAAAGTGAGGGATTTCTCCCATCATCCTGACGCGCGTAGCACTCAGTGTCTCCGAGCCTAGAGTTCGCACTCATAATAGAATTCGATTGCAATTCAACCTGCGAATACTCACCCACGCGTTCTGTAGCACCGCCCTCCCTCGACTCAGCCACTATCCTAGAAGCGAATGTAATAGCGTGCGGTATCTCCATCGGGTTGAATAGTCCAACCCAGGCACTGGTGCCTAAAATTCTACCTTGATAAGAATGATAAGAGCTGGTGCGGAGATAGGGCGAGATGCTATACGCGTATGGGAAGAAGAGGGCAAATGAAACCATTTAGAGGCAGACTATTAGATATGGTATTCCGATAGTCACGTCCGCGTAGCTTAGTTTGGTGGTTGGGGTGAGGGTATCTGTTGTGCGGAGGATTGCGAATATTATCTAAATCGGAGGCGGGGTGGGAGTTAGTTTAGTTTGAATCGGTTTGCTTGTCAGGCTTTTTTGCTCGGGTAAGAGAGAGACGGATGGGCTTGTCGTGACTTGAGCTTTCTAGAAAAGACAGTCCAACAATGAGCTTGAAAGCTAAAAGTTTACTAAGCGGACTGTGTCTACTTGGACATTGGCTCAGTCCTCGGCCAAATGTGGGTCGAAAGTCACGTTACTTTTTGACCCATGCTTGGCTGAATCCCGTCAGTCCTCGGTAGAAGTTAAGCACAGACATCACAGCGAATGCGACGGAAATAATGGAGATGATCGCCAACTTTGAGAAACCGTACCGTGATTAGCAAGGAAGAAATCTGTGGAGGGAATGAGAATGCTTTCATCGCACCCAAAGATGCGCAAAATATGGTTCGTTGCTCCCTAAGCAATAGATTTCCACTGCTTGGGTGACATCTGTTGCAATTGCGACGCCGAAGGCGATGACTGGATATTGGAAGATAGGAATCCATTGGTTCTGACAGAGGGAGGCAGGTGTGAGCGCCGTGTATGGAACTTGAAGGTGTGTGGAGCAAATGGTGTTGATTTACTGGGAATGAATACATACGCGAAACCATTTTAGTCCGGTCAAATGCGACTTTCCTTTGTTTTGCGGGACTTCAAAGGCCGTGAAGAAGATATCTGTCTCCGTATCTGAGTCTTTTGAAATCAATTCACACAAAAGTAGAAAGAAGGAGCCTAGCGCGACTGCCTGGAAGACGTCGAGCCAGGGTTTTAAGGATGTATAAGCATGTGGGAAACAAACGGAGAGGAATGATGTGATTGTGCATAGCGGGAGGAGAATGCAGATTTTCGTGATTCTAGTCATGTCATCAGAGGTCGTTCATTTAGTTCGAAGGTAAAGGTGCCTAGGAAAGAAATTTGTTCTTACTTTATTAGTTCCCTAGGCTTGCTCAGGTGAATTGGATGCCAGAACATTGGGCTGAACATGATGAGAACTACTAATGCTGTGCAAGCGCCCGATATGATCATGTTGAGATGGTAGAAGTAGATACTATTCCCGATAGATGGCTCAGATGCCTCTATATTGGATATGCTGACTTAGTCTTTGTGGTATGGAAAAGCCGGAAACCAGCTGGACACTCGGGGCTTACCTATGGCAAATGCAGCAGGCGTCGGACATGTATGGTTAATGATACTGCCATGGCTGCTAAAGATACCCATTATGATGAAGATACCTAGTAGGTATTCCCAGCGGATCGACCAACCAGGCAAATATAGAAATTTTCAGGAAGATTTCCAGACCTACCTAGGTATATTTTCAAAGGTCTGGGCAGGGACTCGGACGCCACCGGATATTGAACTAGAAGATATCAAGAAAATACTAATACATAATATTAGGGTACCTGGGCATGATGCGCTTTTAAACCTTTCCGATCGGGGTTTAAGGATCAGTGATTTACAGGGAAGCATTTTTAAGATTGAATATCACTACTCTGCACCACAGGCACAGTTCAGCTGAAAAAAATACGGGCTTTCAATTGAAGAAAAATGGATAAGATAGAATTCAAAAATGAAGAAATGCTTGCTGCGAATTGGGTAGATGTAGATCACTACGGAAGAGGGCATAGCCTCGAATCGGAATTCTAGATCAGGTTAGCAGATATCTGCCTTCCACGCTGCTGGTTATTGTAGATCGTAGATCAACAAAATTTCGAATAAGCACAAGAAAGAAAAAAAGGCAAGTTCTTTCGATAGGAAGGAAAAAGGAAACTTGCTTGAAGTTGATCCTAGGGACTCCCAGCAGTTCCGATGGACTAGTTAACTGGGATATTCACAACAGAGCTTTAACCGCTCTTTGACGTACCCGCGGTCGGACGCAGTTCAGGACCAAGATAGGTCGTCAACTTTTCCAACTCGCATACAATTACACGTTAAACAGAGACTGTGGCAGAACATGAACTAACTTTGAATTTTTTGACAGCAAATGCAGTCCTTCCAAACAGATACAGGACCACCCCCGGAGGCAGAAGAGTGGCTACGAATTGTTCAACCAGAACTTGACGCGAAAGACTTTATATACTTAAAATCGTTCTACTATGGCGAAGAGGCCTCACGTGTTTGCAAGGACGCAAAATCTCTTTTTGAAAGGACATATGCTATAGAGGAAAAGGTTGACGTATTGGAGGAAAGCATTTGACTCCTACTATTGAACTAAGACGTCGCTGCAAAGGGCCTCAGAAGCTCTTATCGAATTTCATTCCCGGGGAAAAACAACAGTTCCCACAGCAAAAGAACGGAAGATCTTCCCGCTTCTGGGCATTCAAAATCACCTCGATGCCGGTATGCTTCGCACGGAAACGATAATCCTGGACCTCACCATTTTAACATCCAGCCCGCCTGATATTTCCAACGAAACAGTTACACGACTAGCTGAGATACAGCGGATCTGCGAGGAAGAATCACAATTTTCTATCAGCCAGATAGTTGCCAGACTGCCTTATCTCTTGCCACCAGAGCACTGGGCGATCATTCCGTCCCGGGCAGATACACTTAGGCTACTGTGGCCCTTGAGGTGTATTTTAAGCGCACGCACTTCCAGGATGTGCACAAAGTAATCGCGAGATCGGCTTTATCGAGGATTGCTTATGATATTGGTATCATGCAGGCAGTAGGGTCCTTCTTCCAGGAATTCAATACGCGGGAAATTCAATCAGTGTAGGGATTTGAGTTGAGTTGGAAGACTTGACTATCTAGTTAAACCATAACATTGTTAGAGACGACTGTCAGACGAGACTAATCAATTCAATCCAGCGGTACCATCAAGATATCAACAAAAGTCTTTGACTCCCTCGAATACCCATCCACAAAACGCTCTCCAAAGTCCCGCACAAAGTTATCATATGTCGTCTCGGGCTTGTGTTTGCACAATGCGCAAAGAAGCTTTATCACGGAGTCCTTGAATTCGAGAAGTGGCAGCTCTTTGACAACGGCACTATGTTCCTCTTTCGTGATCAGACCACCGGGAAGACCGGAACCCAGGAAATCTGCAGTGATTCCCATATGACAGAGAGCAACTTCCATCTCCTTATGCTGCGCAATACTGGAGGTGGTATGCAGTGCAATGCTGTCCCAGACCATCTGCAGCTGTCGCTGGTTGAATCCGGGCGCTTCGCGCTTCAGATATTCGCGGGCGGCGTTTGCACTATCGACCTCGAAACGCTTGTCTTTGGTTGCGAAGACACTATCATAATCCCATGCCAGATCATGAAGGATAGCTGACACAGCGTGGACTTCGAGGTCTACGCTCTCGTATGCTGGTATTTTCGAAGCAATCAAAGCGCCAAAGATCCAAGACCGATAGACATGGTGAAATGACATTGGATCATGATGGGCTCGGGCGAATTCCAATGCTTCCCGTACCACCGGAGTATCAATAAGAGTGACGCCGGCAAAAACACGAGTTTCGTGTGTGGTTGTCATGTTCAAGACTTTTGCTCAAATTCAAGTTGATCTGGTGCGCAGGTGGTATCTAGATTGGTTGCCAGTGGTTTCAAGGTTGGGTACTCAGAAACCTTTATCTTTCGGATGGAAGCTCCAATTTATACCTATCCTACACTCTCAGCAGATCTGTTTTTTTCTTCAGCGTGCATCAAGCCACTTTATTATTCCTTCCACTTGCACATCTAGATGGCTGCTTACCGAGACTTACAAGCCAATCAAATGTGGTTTGTCATTGCCGGCGGTCCGGTATACCGTAAGCGGTTAGTGAGATGGACAATATTGCCTCAGGCTCGTTAAACACTCGTCAGCCTCGTGGTGTCCTTCTTTCTACAACCATCTCTCGGAAATGAGACTACAATTATAGAGCACACGTCATATCTAAATCATAATTCACCTCCTCATAATGATTGTGTCTCGGCCTTGCCGTACTTGTCGTTTACGAAAGAAAGCTGTGGGTCTCTGCTTTCCCAGGAAAAACTAGCTTGGCACTAAATAATGTGGACAGTGTGATAAGACTCGACCGAAATGCAAAGCTTGTTATAATTCAGGGCGCCAATGTGAAGGATATGAATCTCATGTCAAGGGCGTATTCATCAACCTCGACACGGGAAGCATCAATACGCCCATGAAGCCCCTGATAACAAAAGCCACCCTGTCAGCCCGGAAAGCGTTAACCAGCAAAAGTGAATCAAAACACAAACTTGGTCCGCAGAGTAGCGAAGAAATCTCCGTACTTTCTCCTCACCTTCTCGACCTTTCGCCTGGGGATTTTCAAAATCACTTCATTACTCTATGGTCGAACTTTCAAGAAGGATATGCACGAACAACTTCCGATTGGTCTATCCATGTGTCGGGACTGGCGCTTCACCACAAAGCCCTGGATCTAGCCCTGATTTCATTAGCAACAATGCGATTATCGGTCTGCGGTCAAAGCGATACCTATCGAATCTTCAGTCTCACCACATATAATGACGGCCTTAGGATCTTCCAACGGCTTCTGCAAGAGAAACGTCCGGAATCGAAAGGCCTTTTGGTTGTTATTTCATTGATCTTCACCCTTTTTGAAGCCGCCCAGCTAGAGCCCACTCAGGTATACGACGGATGGGAGGGCCATCTCAAAGGCGCATTGTTTCTGATGCAGCGGCAAGGCCCTGCAGCTTTTCAAACTGGTGGCCTCCATGCAGCGTTCATAAAGCTTCGGGAAATGGCGGTAGGTGCGAACATCATCATGAGAAAGTGCACAGCGATATCTGACAGATTATATAGATGTTATTTGCATTTTCTACAAAAAGCAGATCGTTCCTCGCGCAACGCGACTGGATAGAAATTCCCTGGGCGAGAATGGAGAAATCCTCGCGCGATCGCTTATATGACATCGCTACCGAGATAACAATTATCAACTCAAGAAAAGACGGCAATAAGCCAGATATTTCGCGAAGATGTCAAATTATATTTGATAGATTAGTTTCTTGGCGCCTAAAATGGCTGGAAGACGACCATCCGGGTTTGCTAATTTCCTGTCAAGGAGACCACGAAGAACCCTGTGGCTGCTTCCCACCACGGAACGTTTCTTCATTTTGCGACGAATTTGCATTCATTACTGCCGAATATATGGCCTTTCTGTTATTGGTTACGCATATTGCGATCAGCGCGGCTAATGACTTGAAGATCGCCCCGAGGGACGAAAACCATATGGCCACGGCTTATCTATACGTCGATACACATCGAAAACGTGCATCTCGACTAAGAATGAGCTTGCAGAAAATTTTAACCCTCCCTTGCTTTGGACAAGCTCTTTCAGGCACTCCGGGTATCACAGAAGGTCGCTGTCGCTCGTTATTTCCGACATGGATACTCTCGCAAAACCCCGATCGTTGGGGCTCAGATAATGTTGATTGGTGGTCTGACTTGACTGGCCGAGTCAATTATGGGATGAAATGTTGCCGACAAATTCAAGTTCAATATGCAGAAGACTAAGGTATCTCAATTCAAGTTGGTGCTACATAGTATATTTTTTGAAATAAAAACCGCGATAATTAAATGGCTCATGTTGTACATGCTTGAGCCACGAGCCACGAACTTTACGAAATTCAGCCAGGGACTGTGAAAATAACACTTACCCCGATTAAACTTAAGCATCTAGGATAGTCAAAATCCCGTTAGTCACTTTGCTATAATCCGAGCATTTATTATCTAATGTTCGGATGGGGCTCGGTAAATCAAGGAAGTTCCCACGGTTCCCCAGGAGTTCCCCGCAAATTTCCTGATTGGCGGAATCTCTCCTCATTCCGTGAACATCGAAATTGTGTCACGATGACGACGTAGTCATGATTCATCTTCCAACAATATTCAAGATTGTCAGAGTAGTAGTCGTCACTATAGTTGTATAGCTCCTTGTTATTTTCGTGGCGTTAACAATCCGTTCAAGTATAGATACAAAGGTACATAGAACCCAGATTCTAGATTTGCGAACGACGAAATTTCATCATTTTTTAAGTTCTGCACTTCCTATTTTCACCAGACCCATACAATTCCGTTTAACACAGCGCAATATGCTTCAGAATTCAACAAGACGCGCTATGCGTCTAGTCGGGCGGCCAGTACGCTTCCAGCCTCGGACTCGCGTTCTAAACCGTCGCTTCCAATCATCCAGTTCCGGTTCTGCCTCGTCTGGTGGTAACTCCGCTCTAGTCGGTGGTATAGCAGGTGGTGCTTTCGCTTGTACAGTTGGGTACGCATGGTACTACTTTTCCGGCGCGAAGACACTCATCGATTCCAACACGCAAGCCAAGCAATACATCCAACAAGCCAAACAAAAGTTTTCGGAGACCGCGCCCGAGCCGAATGAAGCTTACTCATGGTTGAAAAAGACTGTCAATCGATACGCCGTCTTTATTCCCGGTGCTCGAGAATACGCCGATACTGCCTTCAAGGACCTCGAGACAATCAGAGATAAACACGGGGAGGAATTCGACGAGGTAGTCAAAGATGCATACAACGAGCTGAAGGACCTTTCCAAGGACAATGGGTTCAATACGGACACGGCATTTCAGGGATTCTACATCTTACAGAAACATATGAATCGCCTCTTGGATCTGGCCGGTGATGCTGGCGAGGATATCTTGAACAACCACCCTCAACTCAAGGAAAAGGTCGGCGGTAGCATTGACCAGCTCAAGGAAATGGGCGAATCATACGGACCGCAGGCGAAGGAAGAGGTGAACAAGATCTGGAGTCAAATATCCGACATCGTGAAGCGCGGCGCAAGTCTGGATACTGCTGCTGAGATCAAGAAATTGATCGATGAGAAGAGGGAAAAGCTGCAGAAACTTGGTGACGAGGCGTGGCAGAAGGGGCTCGACGAATCCCGAAAATACCTCGAGAAGAACGACAAATTGAAGGCGTTGATCGATGAGAATGCCGAAACTCTCAAAAAGGGAAATTTCCAAGATCTCTGGGGTCTTCTTAAGGAGAGCGCGTCTTCTGGTAAGACCGAGAATGTGGAAAAGTTCATCAAGGAGAAACTTGATCAGGCGAAGCAAGGGGGTGGTGGTGCCCTAGAAAAGATGGAGAAATGGCTAAAGGCCGCACCGGGCGGGTCTAATATTCTTCAGCAATTACAAACCCTTCAAAATGCTGCGGATAAGAAGGGAAATGAGGCGGAAGAAGTTCTCAAAGAGACTTTTGAAGAGATCCAGGATGTGTTGAAAAAGAGAAAGGAGCAGGTTGAGAAGATCGCCAAGGAGGGAGATTCGGGATCTTCATAGCTTCAAGTGGACTCGTAGCATCAAGCGACTGTATCAAATGATAGTATAACTTGCAAATAAACCTCAATTCAAAATCGCAAATAGTACTGGCCAGTGTTGATTCATGGTCGCTCTCGGAACGAAAGATCTTTAATTATTTCAGAACGAGCACTTTGAAAATGTGCATTGTCAAAGTACCAATTTTGTGACATTCTAGACCCTTCACAAATTCTGTAAACACAGCCTCTGCAACGTAGTTGGTTGGCTGTCTGCTTTCAAGCCACGATCTACATACACTGACCTGTCAGTGGAGACGCGGAACCTCATCCGTAAAGGTGAGCGACTAAAGTACCAGGTTTCAACTTTTCACCCGATAATTAGTTGTAATGTATCACATTCAAATCCCATGAAAGTCACCTTGTGTGGCTGTCACATATAGTCAAGGTTCATCTTAAGTGAGACGTCATAATGAATTCACTCAGCGAATCAAACGAATCAAAGAAACTCGCTGGTAGCAGGAGTTTCAGTTCAGTCTTAAATTTGCAAACAAGATCACAGGGGCGCTGTTTGCTATTTATTGACACTGTCATTTTCCCAGGTTCTCTAGGGCAGTGGATCTTTCAACCTCCCGTTTCCTCACTTTAACATGGATTCCCGACCTCAAAATCAAGAAGCAGCCTCAGCGAACAGAGTTCCGACCTTGAGCACGACCATGCCTGTAACGCGATCGTCTTCATATTCCGGTCCTGTCCACAACGATTCCACAAAGGCTAGTGAAGCCACAAAAGACCAAGATCAAAGGTACCAGCAGCAAATCAAAGCGGCTTCAACTGCGCTACTGAATGATGAAAGAGTGGGGGCTGGATCAAAAGCTGGAAGATCGCTTCAGAATGTGCTTATGGCCACTGAGCACCGGCTCAGAGACCAGCGAAGGGAATCGTTACACAAAAGGGAAAATAAGTGAGAATCTCCTCAATAACCTTGTATGCTGGCCAGATCGATATTAATCCAATCTGAGTCAGAACCGTTGACTGGCTACCGGGCGATAAATAAATCAGAGTCCATACTAGTATCGGTCACATCTGAGATGGCCAGTTGGCAGTCAAGTTAGCGAGGAGTTCTACTAGGACCAGAATTGAATCGTTTTCGGCGTTTTTTGTATTTTCTGGAGTTGACTGGAAGCTACGTGTGCTTATTGCGATTTTCCTGCTTACTGTTCTCGGGGGTTTTAATTACTTGGTACGATTGTTTACGTGTGTTTAATCATAGAATCTCAGAGCCACAATATATCGTTTTGCTTACGTATTTAATACACCCATTCTTGAAATCCTTGATTCAAAATTCAATAACTGAAATTACATCACTCTCGATTCTGTATAATATCAACTTGAAGTGATTCCGACAGATAGAAACTGACCATTGGGGAGGGCTAGGAAGGAAGGTCATGCCGGTGGCGGCCTAGAGATGCCTGAGGGGTTGTTCATGTCTGAGGCCCTCACAACATCTTAAAGCACCTACTAGTTAGTACTACTACTAGTAGGTAGTCGCTGGTAAAACCGTTATATCTAGTAGTTCTTGGGGCTTTAGCTAGTCCTTTAATCCTACAGATATTTTCCGCTTTGATCGTTTCTCACTATAAACCTTCAAGCTGGCCTGGCTTGCTTGTCAACCTTGGAACTTGAAGGGTATGTGTTTCCTTTTGCTTAACTGGATTATTTCTATTTTGAGCCAGGAGAGATTCCAACCTGATCTAATTCTCCTCTCTCGGTCAGCGGGCGGATTTGTTGATCATTCAAGGAGCGCCATGCCTTTTTTCAACCCCGAAAATCGTTTCCACCCGTGGACCGACATACATCTGGCCTGCAGGTCACAATGGTTCAATGGGGATTTTTTTAATACTGGTCTCTGCATACTTGAAGCAATTCAATTTTGCAGGAGATTCACGCTTTTTCCAATTTGGCCTGGAGAGTACTAGTAGTAGTAGAAGTATTTCTTCTCAATATGGAGATACGACATGTCTATAATATAATCACAAAGGAATGTATGTGCAAAAATGGCTGGGAGGAATTTGATATAAAATCATCCAATATCAGCCCGGCCGTTCACAGATTAGATCACCAGGATCTAATTTGATATTTCACTAGATCTTTGGTTTCCGACGAATAACACTCGATGCTTTCAAGTCAAACCTTCAAACCTTCCCGAGCAACCCAATTCAAAGCATCGCTTAGATGTACTCCCAAGTAGGCTGGGTGGTGGTGGTGTCAACGGGGACAGCCAGAGCGTCGAAGCCGAGGCAGTCGTTGATGTTGCCAGTGGGGACGGTGGCGTTCTTCTGAGCAGAGAAGACCTGCCACTTGGGGGTGGCAGCAACAACACGGCGGCGGCTGTAAGGGGTGGCAGTAGCATTGGAAGCAGTAGGGCAAGCAATGAAGCCGGAGCCGTAGCTCCAGGTACCGAGACCGCCGTTCTTGCCGGGGGTGTACTTGAAGGGACCCTCGGAGGAGCCCTCTGGAATGTAGCCCGAGTGGGGGGTGGTGAAGGACAGAGCACCGGAAGCATCGACGTAGATCTCCTGGCCGCCGGGAACAACGACATCCTGTGGATTGTATTGTTAGTGGGAGCGCTGCGCTGCGAGGTATGGAGATATACATACAAGGTAGTGGGAGCCGGTCAGGATAGTGTCGTTAGTCGACCCCTTGAGAGGGACACCCTCGGGAATATAGGTCTGGCTCTTGCCACCGAGATAGAAGTGCGAACCGGCAGCGGTCAGAGGCAGGAAGTGGATGGGCGAGCCGGAGCGAGCAGCGGTGACACCGAAGGAGCCGGTGGAAGCGGATTCCTGGCGGCGGCCGGGCATGGCGGCGACCAGAGGGACGAGAGAAAGCAGGGCTGAGACCTTCATTATGAGCGAGAGTAGTATGATACTAGTAGTACTGTGTAAAGAGAGTCGTGAAGTTGATGAAAATAGAGAAATGAAAGCTGCAGTGGCTGGATGGGAGTTATAAATGTTATTCCATAGGACGGATCAAGTTTATATTCCACTTCTCCACTACATTTCCCCATGTGCCGTCTAGGTTCTCCATCGGTGGCCCTGGGTCAAGGTGATCGTCGTGAGATTTACTTGACTGCGAAAGTGCTTCCGCTGCGCAATTGATATCACTCGGAGTCGCAAGATTTGCCCTGCAGGAAGGACGTGCTGCGCCCATGGACGCTGCAAAAGGATCACATCGGGAACTTCAGTGTTCGGTATAGCGCTGATTTTAGCAGAGGCATTGGCCAATTGACAGAAAGTCGGATACAGGCGGTCCATTCCATTAAGGCAACAGCTCCATCAGTTCCCCTTCTGGGAGGTCAATTCAGGGACCGAAGTTTCCTATTGGATGATATCATATCCTGATTCCTGAGACATTCGTTGCAGAAGTCTCCACCCTTTTGCGGTGATCGACAGCCACAACCAGGGACGCTGAACACTATTTTGCGCGAATGAGTTGGCGAGTACTGCTTCGTACCTGATGTTTTGCTTGCGACGGTCAAAATTTCCCGTATTTTGCATGGGCCCCCGGTCATGGATAGATTGAAGACAAATTGCATAATCCTGTTGTCTGGACCCTTGATCAGCGTCGATGTATCCGATCTCAGAAAATCCTCTGGTCCTAAGCGAAGACCCTGACAGGTGGGTCGTTTCAGTCATATCAACGTGCCAGCGGAGAAAAGCAGGGATCGACAGATGTCTTAGCAATACGGAGTACGTACGTACGTAGTACTCTGCACCTTGATGACTTTTCAGAGACGAGCAAAATCACGATAACTATTTCGCCGCTGAATACAACGATTGCGAGTGTGGCTTAACGGCGTGGCGACTGGAAGACCGGATCCACGGCGGTCCCACTCTGTCTCGGCGTGGGCGGACTTGACATCACAGTCAGAATTGGATTCCGATCAGACAGAGATCTACCAAGGGTTCCCCCCGGCTGAGACGGAGCTCCCCGTATCTCGGCCGGTGTCCGTTGAGATCGCAATCGAGGACACTGGAGGGCAATGTCGATCCCCCTCTTCATAACCATTGAATGTCAGCACATGGGAGAGAAGCTGCTCAGGGACGCCAGTGGAGCCGAGGACATTGCGTTGGTCTAGAAGTTTCGGGGCAATCTGTCTGTGACGAGAAACGAAAGATCGGCATGGGAGAAGAGAAGAAAGAAGAATCGGGGAAGTCGGCACCGCCACACCCCTTTTCGGCTCTTCGGTCCAACAGTTGATGTCTCGCCGCAAAAGTGGATGGACTAGGCAGAAGAAAAAGAGTACCTATGAATAACTGTATAGAAGCTTCTTATTTTTAGCTTCAAGCAACTCCACAGCTATGTCATTAGTCTCAACGACAAGGAATTGGGATACGCTACTCCGTACTAGGTAGGTAAACGATTGTCTGCTGAATATAGACAGGGAATTATTATGATTCTATGTGCACACCCCCGTCTCGTTTCTAGGTAGAGACTTCATATCAAAACATCACAATTAACTAGAACTCAGCCACCAACGGCAAGTCCCGAGAACTACGACCAGCCCAGATCTTGAACTTGCCATCAGTCGGCAACACCCAATTCTGCGCCCGAACACTCCAATAGCTGAGATCCTTGCGAGACAACGTCATTTCAACCGTCTTAGACTCCCCGGGCTCGAGGGAAATCTTGTCGAAATTCCGAAGCACGCGAACGGGAAAGTCGATTTCTTCCCTACCCAAGGCAAGCCCGCGGTGCTCGACCACACCCTCTGGAAAGGAAACATAAATCTGGATGACTTCTTTGCCTACTCTGGTGCCGGTGTTGGTGACCTTCACCGAAAGCTCCAGCATGGCTTCCCATAAGGCTGGGTTTCCGCCTCGGCCACCCCCGGCTTCGGATGGCTCTTGCTTCTCGTTGTACCCCTCTGGGTAGGGGTATTTGCCCGGGTCGGTGCCGTCCGTGTTCAGGAGATAGGGATAAATGTATTTGGCCAAACGCGTGAAGTTGCTGGGGAACAGGTTGTCGGTCGCTAAACCGGGTCTGCTATCGTAGACAGGGGGCGCGATATCGCTCTTCTGGCGCGGGCGTGGAAGCCGGGACTTTTCCTGCAATGCCTTGATACGGAGATCGGAGAAGTCGAAAGTGGTGTAAGATAATCCGTAGCCGAACTCATAGCGTGGTGTGATGTTGTGTCGATCAAAATGGCGATAATCTATGTATAGACCATCGTCAAGATCGACTTGTGGGGCCTGGTCGTCGGCCTTGTATACGACCTGCGCGGCAGGACCATAGTCCTCAAGAGACCGACCGATGGTGTAAGGTAAGCGTCCACTGGCATCGACGTCACCAAACAGCACATCGACCAAGGCGTTGCCGCTCTCCTGGCCAGGAAGGTTTGCGTAGAGCACCGCATGAACACCTGGTAGGTCAATCCAGGGGTCTAGCACAACGGGGCCGACGGAATGTACCACGACGATTGTTCGACCTCGGCCATCTCCGCATTTTTGCGCGACACCCTCTACCAGATTTGCCCCATTGCGTTGTAGGAATAGATCATTGCGGTCGCCATTGATACCATCGCTGCGGATAAAACCTTCGCCGCCATCTGAATTTGCAAAAACGAGACACAAATCTTGCTCTGCCAGGTCTTGTTGGGCAATATCGTTGGTGAGGTAGCTACGAACGTCAACTGTCTCATTTGACCAAGCAGTCTCAAGTGCTTCCCAGGGGCTAACCAAGTACGGGAAATCCACCGCACCACTGCCCCAGCCAGAGGCTAAAGTCCCCTGGTTGCAGCCGCGATCAGCGCAGGAATTAGGACCGTTTCCAGGACCTGCGTCCTCGCCGAAGACACCGACCCGGTATTTCCCATCCGGGCTGGGAACAGTTCGCGAGAGGGGGAGGGTATTATTGATGTTCTTTAGAAGCACAGTGCCTTCTGCTGCGATCTCACGAGCAATTGTAGCATGCTGGGACTGCTGCGCATTCACGAATTTGTTGACTTCCTCAGAGGAATGGTCATCCGGGCTCCCATGGTGCAATTTACCCATTTTCTTGTCCGTCCAAGAGGAAAAGTTAGGACCGCGTTCTTCCCAATGGTCTTGGCGGAAATGATACCACGCCGCGACAATTCGCGTCACCATATCATTCAATCGCTCCATTGGCACGGAAGAGTTCAAAGCTGCGGCCGTCAATTGTCGTCCCCAGAGGGCGTCGCCATCCGCCCAGGCGAGACCATCACCCGGCATACTCATGTCGAGACCACTCAGGGCACTTTGAACGCCAGACCGTTGTGCCAGCCAGTCCGACTGAACGAACCCTTGGAATCCGAGCTCATCCTTAAGAATTCCATTGATAAGCTTGCTATTCTCGCAGGAATAGCTATTGTTGACCATTTGGTAAGCACACATAATACTCGCAACATCTGCGCGCACGCTCTCGGCAAATGGCCAAACAAAGACCTCATGAAGGGCACGATCGCCGATGTTGGATGAGATCGCGTATTCTGTGCCCCATTCGTTGGGTTGGCGGAAATGTTCCTGCTCGTTCAGAACAAAGTGTTTGGCTGTGGCCATCACGCCTATTTTCTGGATACCTTGGATAGTCTCTGCGGCTGCAACAGCCTGCAAGACAGGGTCTGATCCGAAGGACTCCCAGTTTCGACCTCCGGCTGGCATCATTCCCATACCACCCATCGAAGGGCCAAGAAGAACATTGACTCCTTTAGCGCGCGCTTCGCGTCCAAGGGATTTTCCGCGAGCTCTCATGAGGTCACGGTTCCAGGTTGCACCTGTGGTGATTCCAGCAGGGAATGCGGTGATGTTATCAGCGAAGCGCAGACCAAGCGGGCCATCTTGTAGACATAGAGAAGGGAAGCCGACGGAGTCGACACTTTCTATAATTTGGATCAGCATGTTGCAAGTCTACTTAGAGCGGAAAGGAAGAGTAGGAAGACGGTTCAAAGCCCTCGTACATACCTGTGTTTCCAACACAAAGGCCCATCTGCCACCCAGTCCCAGTCGTGACGCCAACCTTCTCAACAAGACTCATCCTCTCAACCATATCGTGCGCTTTCCTATAACTCTCGCTCCAGTTCGAGCTGATACCCCCCCAGAGGAGTCGGATACCACGGAACAGGGTGCTAGAACAGTCAGCCCAAAATCTAGCATCACAACACTCCCAAGCCCATCACAAGCAATCGGGCAATAGGAATCGAAAAAGAACTCACATATCCCGTCTGTCTATCCCCCCCAATACCAATGAAGCCCCTGCAGCGCAATCCAAACCAGAAGAATCGCACCGATAAAGAACCCCCCCAATATGCCACCACGTTTTCTTGCCAAAAACAGCATTGCGATATCGTTTCCAGCGGGACTCCTCTCCCTTCCCATTCCTTCCGCGCGGTTTAATCGGGGACCCATACTCATCCTCATCCTCGAAATCAAAGCCCTCGTCATCGCTAAAGACAAAATCGGTATTCGCATCCTCAATATCCGTCCGGAACGACTCCGCCAGTAAAGTCCTCCTTTCACTCTCGAGAAAGCCTTCAATGCGCTTGCCGACGTCACGCTGCTCTTTCGGTACGGGGATGTCTTCATTGATGTTGCTGTGGCTGCCCTCAGCCTCGTATTCCTTCGGGAGGAGGGTGGAAGAACTGCCTGAGGGTATATCGTCGATAAGTACTGTCCGACGATTGTAGCTCGAGCGCACGGGACCACGACGCGTATCCAGATTGTGATGGTCGTCCTGATTCCGGCTTCTACTTCTCAACGGTCGAAGTCTGACATCTTCTTCGTTCGCGTCGTCGGCGCTGTCGTCGCTGGAAAGTAAATCGACATCATTGGCTTGACCGCGCGAAGCAAGGCGGTCGGAGGCGGGGGTGGAGGTGGAGATGGAGGGTTTG